CATTTATTGGTATAGCGATTCCATTTTATAGAAATATCTAAAAAATTGGAATGTTAAGCAATTGTTAAAGATCCTGGGCAAGGTAGGAGTTTCACATAAAAGTGTGAATATTTTAAAGAACTGGGTATTCTTTCTTTTTGGCAAAGGCACAGAGAATAACAGCAAAGTGATAGTGTGAGAGCTTGAAGGGCACCTGGAGGTTATCTAGAACCACCTTCCATTCTGCAGATGAGTCCTTTCAGGCCTAGAGGAAAAAGGGACTGGCCCAAAGTCAATCAAAGAGGCAGGGACAAAGACTGGGCCAGGGTGGAGCCTTCTGGTGACTCCAGGCAGAGGGATTTCTGTTACGAAATCCTGCGCAAAATCCCTGGGAAAACTGTTCAGAGTTTTAGAACTGCAGAATGTTGAAGCTGGGAAAAAACAGCTGAATCCTGTTACATTAGCTGTGAGCTAACATGAGGAAACTGCAAAGGAAGACCAGAAAATCCTCACTAAAACCTAGAAGAGTGCCCAATTCATTGGCCTGTCAGCCCATCTCCTCCTTCCTCCTCCGTGGGCACTGCTCTCAGGTCCCACAAACCTTTCAGTAGAAGTCCAGCACTTCCCCACTCAGGACTATGCTGTTTTTGGTCCTTTCCTAAGATACACTCTCTTTTTCTCTTTCTGGCCTATTCTACTGCTCCAGCCTCATTCTAAGTGTTACTTCCTCAAAAGATCTTCCCTGACTTCCTTGAATAGGTGGGTGGGTCCTCTAGAAATCTTGTTATAAACATTGAAATAAATAACTTTAATATGTGTGGTAGTAGAGACCTGTATTTTTGTTGGATTCACTTTGAATTAATCTTTTTAAAAACTGTTTACTTAACTTTCATTTTTATCAAAGTAAAAAGAGTCAAAAGTTTCCACAAGGCTTGTTGTAAAAAATGACATCCTCTGTCCCTGGTCTCTGTCCTGACACTCCAGGTCTGCTTCCCAGAGAAAACACATTTTATTTATTTATTTATGTATTTATGTATTTATTTATTTATTTATTTTTATTTTTTATTTTTTAAGACGGAGTCTTACTCTGTTGCCCAGCTGGAGTGCAGTGGCACGATCTTGGCTCACTGCAACCTCTGCCTCCTGGGTTTAGGCGATTCTCCTGCCTCAGCCTCCTGAGTAACTCAGCTGGGATTACAGACACGTGCCACCATGCCTGGCTAATTTTTATGTATTTAGTAGAGACGGGGTTTCACCATGTTGGTCAGGCTGGTCTCAAACTCCTGACCTCATGATCCACCCGTCTCGGCCTCCCGAAGTGCTGGGATTACAGATGTGAGCCACCGTGCCCAGCTGATCATGTTTACATTATTTGGATTATGTAAATATTATTCACAGTTGAGCCACATAATATAAAGCTATAAAATTTCCTTTTTTGTGTATTATATATTTCTTATGTAGTCAGCCCTCTATATATCCCAGTTCCACATCCACAGATTCAACCCAACATACATTAAAAACATTCAGAAAACAACAACAAAAAATAACAAACCAACAATAAATAATACAAATAAAAAACAATATGTATAACAATTATTTACGTAGCATTTTCTTTGCATACTTATTGTAAGTAATTTAGAATAATTTAAAGTATAAAAGACAATGGGTGTAGACTATATGGAGGTACTACATCATTTTATATGAGGAATTTGAGCATCCATGGATTTGGGGATCTGCAGAGTTTTTGGAATCAATTCCTCGTGAATACAGAGGAGCAACTCTGTGTACCTTGTATGTATTCTACTATTAGTAATTGTCTCGTTTCGTCTTTGACTTAGTGTTTAACACACATCTTGCTAATTTATTAATAAATTCTTTTCTATAGGAGTAAATCTCATCTCAGTATGTGCAAGGTTATCAGGTATTAATTTTATCTTCTTGAAGACAGTAATCCTTCTGCTTCTGCTTGGACTGGCGGTTTTCCAAGCTTGTTCTGTCTCTGTCACCTGGGTCATCCTCTCGCTTTGCTCCACTGTGGGATCTCCTGTGTTCAAGATTTGTCTCTCACAGACCATAGATAGTCATATTTCAAACATCAATATGATAATAACATCAGTGATGAGAGAAACAAAGCACCGAAGGAATAAAGGCTCTGTCTTTTTACCCCTAGGATATGTAATCACATTTTGTGTTTTTAGAGTTTTAATTGTTTTTTCATGCCATTTCACTTAAAATAAAATTTCCTTTTAAATGTCTATGAACGAGTATTTTCAGTTTTAACATATTACCTTTTAAGAAGGTAGCAGGGGTAACTGAAGATGTGTTAAATATATATCACAGTTAAATCGTACAGAAAGTAGAGTGTTTTTTGTTTTTTTTTTTTGAATTGTAGTTGCATATATAAAAGCCTAAGTAAAATAGGTGGTTTGTAATATGCTCAAGTGAAACAATTAGTATTTTATGATTCTGAAGATCAACAAGGTGAAATCCACAAAGTTCAGACATGGACTTAACTCCCCGTAACTAGCCATCCCAAACAGAATCTCAGCCAAGATTTTTGCAATATTAACAAGCTGATTCTAACATTTATATGAAAATGCAGATGACAAAAACTAGCAAAGATAATCTTGAATAAGAATAAAAGTCAGACTGGCCGGGCACGGTGGCTCAAGCCTGTAATCCCAGCACTTTGGGAGGCCGAGATAGGTGGATCACGAGGTCAGGAGATCGAGACCATCCTGGCTAACATGGTGAAACCCTGTCTCTACTAAAAAATACAAAAAACTAGCCAGGTGAGGTGGCGGGTGCCTGTAGTCCCAGCTACTCGGGAGGCTGAGGCAGGAGAACAGCGTAAACCCAGGAGGTGGAGCTTGCAGTGAGCTGATATCCGGCCACTGCACTCCAGCCTGGGTGACAGAGCGAGACTCCGTCTCAAAAAAAAAAAAAAAAAAAAAAAAATTAAACTTACAATTACTATATGATTGCCAGGCGTGGTGGCTCACTCCTGTAATCCCAGCACTTTGGGAGGCTGAGGCAGGTGGATTGCCTGAGCTCAGGAGTTTGAGACTAGCCTGGTCAACACGGTGAAACGCTATCTCTACTAAAAATACAAAAAATTAGCTGGGCGTGGTGGTGCATACCTGCAATCCTAGCTACTTGGGAGGTTGACGTGGGAGGATCGCTTGAACCCAGGAGGTGGAGGTTGCAGTGAGTCAAGATCACATCACTGCACTCCAGCCTGGGCCACAGAGTGGTACTCCATCTCAAGAAAAAAAAAGAGCTAAGATACTTGAGGGCCAGAGTCATTAAACATTAAAGTGATTGCAGCTGCAGTTTACCAACCCCAAGGACTTTACTTCCTCTGTAGCAATTTCTCATATCCCATATATTCAAGAGTCTGGAGTAAAATTGCTAGATAAAATACAGGGCACTGGTTAGATTTGAATTTCAGATAAACACTGATTTTTTTCTCATATAAGTATGTCCCTGGCAATATTTATTACAATTTCAAATATTGTCAGAGACATACTTATATGAGAAAAATATAATTTGTAATAAATTTTGCCAGACATATGAAAAAGCTATCTGAAATTCAAATTTAACTGGACTTCCTGGGCCCACCACACTATTTCTCCTTCTTCAGAACCCCTAACAACATTGAAGCACGTGTCTTCAGCCTCTACCATCAACCACTCCTCCTTATTGAAGTTGTCTGTCATGTTTATGGTCACTCTTGCCAAATCATTGATCATTCTAGCACTTGGTCCTTCTCTTTCCTCTCAGTACTTATTTCCAGTATCATTCTTTATGATGATGATATCCACATAGACCACAATTCACTATCTCTGCTTCTGATTTCCTTTACCTTCTCATTTCAAACACTTCCTCCATTTCAATTCAAATGGAGAGAAGCATAAAGAAGATGAAGCTTTTTTGCAATATTAAATAGGGTGGTCAGGGAATCCTCAGTGAGGAGACAATACTTGAGCCAACATCCTGAAGGAAATGAGGGGCTCAACTCTGCTGACTCTGGAGAAACATAGTCCAGGAAGAGGAAACAGTAATTACCAAGGCCCTGAGGCAGAAGCCTTCCAGGTTTATTACAGAAAGTTTCTCAAGAACAGGGATTAAATCTTACACTTGGTGATGTGGATAATACCTTGCCTGCAGGAGTAATTCATGTAATATGACGATTCATAGAAGAGCATGATAAATTCTTGATTAGTAAATGAGTAAGAGGTACTTTGGTGAAAGGTTATTAAGTATATTTGGAAATCATTTCCTTCCTGTAAGACCTTGCAATCAAATGGCAAGACTTAGGGTTCTCAACAATACACAAAATAAAAGCATAAATTAAATAAGGAATTAATATTATGTACAATGAGTAAAGTGCATTTTGAGAGGCACTATTTGAAGAGAACTTCAAAAGTTGCATATGAACTTCATATGCAGAATATTTTTCTGAGGGGTTCAGATCCTTCTACACATTTTAATTGGAGGGCTTTCAAACATTCTAGGCTTAGAATGCATATTAACCTGAAGTCTTCTCCCCTACAGGCCGCATCTCGGTAGTTTTTCCATGCTCTTGATTATTTTGCTTCTAATTCAATAAGAATATTGAGGAATAGAGGTAACAAAGGATAGTGAAGATCAGACATTTTTAAGCCATTTTTCCAATGAAGCTTTACTGGGTACCTGCCAAGTGAGTGAAACCCTGAGATATATACTTAGTGCCGAAAACTGAGTTCCACACCTAGCAGGTATTTAGTAAATTTTTGTTTAATGAATTAAGTGAATGAAAGAATGAATAAATGAAAGGAAGTGTCTTCTGTGAGGTATCCGGATGTAACGCCAAGAGGGTCAGAACCACATTTTCAATTCGCCTGATAATTTCTAGAATATAATAGAGGGTGCAAACAAAGAGAAAACAAAGCAGTGAACTTCAGAACTAGAAGGCACCGACGCGGCGGCTGATTTTGTCTGCACACGGCCCCCATAGCCTTTGCGTCCTAAATCTTTACGCAGCCGCGACCGGTAGTGACGTCACGATATTTGGCGCTCGCGGGAAAACTTGTCTCTGTGTTTGGGGGAAGACGCGCGCTGACGCGGGACTTTCAAGCGTAGGTCCCCGGGAAGTCGAGGTGCCATGAGCCTCTGGGTGGACAAGTATCGGCCCTGCTCCTTGGGACGGCTGGACTATCACAAGGAGCAGGCGACCCAGCTGCGCAACCTGGTGAGTCCGCGGGGGCCGGGAGCATGGGAGAGCGGAGGCCCCCTGGCTCGGGGTTTTGCACTCCCCTGAGGAGCAGTGCTTCTTCCTCCTGCATTGGAAGGTGATAAGTGCTATGGAGAAAAATAACAAAGGGAAGGGGGAAAAGATGTGGGAGGCCGGCTTGTATTTTTAAACAAGAAAAGCTCCTCTGAGAAGTGGCATCTGAGCCGAGACTTGAAGGAAATTGAAAAGTCGTAAATACAGAAATCCGAGCGAAGAGTGGAACAGGTAGGAGGAGACAGCATGTGCAAAATTCCCGGGCAGGGATATGCACAGCATATTCTAAGAACCTCAGGAGGCTGGTGTAGCCGATAATGGTGAACCAGCGGGAAGGGTAATGGGAGTTGGGGGTGCAGACTCAGTAAGTGTCAGAATAAGATGGGAAGCCGTTGGAACATTTTAAGCATAGGTGACACCATGAGATTTGCTTTCTAACTGGCTTAAGATTTCTCGATGTCAGTGTTGTCATTGACAAGTAAAGTGTTGTAAATATGTATTTACTCCAAAGATCATAAAATTCTCAAATAAATTTTACTAGTACGTTCCTGAGATTAGTGTTTTTTTGTTTGTTTGTTTTGTTTTTTTTGAGATGGAGTTTCCCGCTTGTCGCCTAGGCTAGAGTGCAATGGCGTGATCTCGGCTCACTGCAACCTCTGCCTCCCTAGTTCGAGAAATTCTCCTGCCTCAGCCTCCCGAGTAGCTGGGATTACAGGCGCCCGCCACCACGCCCGGCTAATTTTTGTATTTTTTAGTAGAGACGGGGTTTCACTACGTTGGCCAGGCTGGTCTCGAACTCCTGACCTCTCGAACTCCTGACCTGCCTCAGCCTGCCAAAGTGCTGAGCTTACAGGCGTGAGCCACCGTGCCTGGCTGAGATTAGTGCTTTATGAAAGATTCCCTCCCCTCTATCCTGATGCCTCTTTGTCTGTTGTAGTTGATAAAAGTGTCTAATGGCAATATTTTGAGGAACGAACGGAATCTTTCAGGGAGTAGAGAGTGAAGAAGGATCTTTAGGAGACTAAGTTATTTAGTGTCTGTGGAAGACATTTGTTTACTCCTATCAAGGACCTCAGATTAATATATGATGCTGTTGAAATGTTTTCGCCCAATACCCTGGTTTTCCCTTACCGACCTTTCTTAGGTTTACAGATACTATTTAATTGTTAAGTGCTTCTTAAAAATAAGAAATAATAAGAAAAGACTGTACATATGAAAGTCATTAGAATAGTTGATAGTTTTGCGAGATTGATCTTTAATTATTCATACTGCATGTATACTAATTTAAAGTAAATTGATTATGGCAGTATCCATAATTTATAGACAAATTACATTTTCCATCAATAGCTTTGTCTTCAGTTTTCCTAGTCATAGAATACATTTTATTTTCTGTGGCCACTTTTTGTTGTACAGAATTTGGAATGTATATTTTGGACATCAATTTTATATAATGATCTTAAGTGTTAAATTTACTTTTAAGAAATGTTCACCTGTTTACTTTTTTATTTGCAGCTTAATCAAACTATGAAGCATTTAAAGCATAATCCTTATTTTTGGTTAGATTGAAGTTTAAAAAACAAAGGCAGTAAGTGTCTATGGGACACCTACCATTTTCCAGGCACTGTATTAGATTGAATAGTTTTTTTCCTTGAGACTTTTCTGTGACAGAGATGGATGTGTTTACAAGGTATTAAAATTCATTGCAATAAGCGCTTCTCTTAAGATACATATTCCATTTGTTCGATAATGGTTATTTACAGAACTTTGCCTTAAAAGATTTTATGCACCTGAGGCTAAGGTCTTTACCCACTCATCTTTATAGCCGCCTTAGCGCTGGTTCCCAAACCAGACTGATCATCAGAAACACCTGAAAAGCTTTTGCAACACTCATCATCAGCAGATACGGTTAGTGCCCTACCCAGTCCTCTTGCTTTTAAGTTCACACAGACTGACTTCTGACTTCTAACTTTGTAGATCTGTACTTTGCCTGAGGGCTTTTCTCTCTGTGACACCCATAAACAGATTTGAAATGCCTGCAGTTAATGCTCTTTCATTTCCCCCATCCACTTTCCTAAGCAGGCTTCAAGAAAGAACTAATCAGAGATAATCATATTGCAGCTTCCCCACCCCCTGGGTAGGTTGACACTCTGGTGGGTGTTTATGTTGGCTTTAAGAGTTTCCCTAGCAGGATCAAACACATACCTAGAGGCATTCAACTTGAAAACACACTCTTAGTGGCTGCCTTCCTTTCCTCTCCTATGAAGTTTTCCTTTATCTCACAAGTAACCTCCCAAAGGAACCAAATACACTGAATTGTTATCACAGGGACTGTTTCTAATAGTCCAGACTGAGAAAGGCCTGAATCTCAGAGTTACACAATCGTAATCTCATGGATGATACGGTCTATTCATTAGTCAGTCCTTTATTTAAAAAGTTTTCTAGGTGCTTCTGATAGCCAGGTTTAGGAGTTCCTGCTTTCTAGCATTTAGTTTTGTGTCTTGCATGTGCTGTGTCATGTATGTAAGTTATACAAAATTAGTGCCAGACGAATAGTAAACATTTCAGAATATATATACATATATATGATACACAATATTTTGTTTATCTACCCATGAAACTCCAAGTTTTACCCATGTATAAACTTGGAGTTTCATGGGTAGATACATAAAATATTTGATACTTAAAAAGTAGTTTGGTTCTACCTAAAGCAATTCAGTTTGACTAGGGAAAAACGCCTTGTTCTTTTTTTTCAGGTGCAGTGTGGTGACTTTCCTCATCTGTTAGTGTATGGACCATCAGGTGCTGGAAAAAAGACAAGAATTATGTGTATTCTACGTGAACTTTATGGTGTTGGAGTGGAAAAATTGAGAATTGAACATCAGACCATCACAGTAAGCATTTCACTTTGAGGCCCTGAAAGTGATTTATAGCAGGGACTTTCAGTCTTGGTCATGTATGCCCCCAACCCAGTTGCTTCCTAATGTATAATTTAAATAAGAATTTCACAGGTAGTCTTGGGGCACAGGATTTGAGAGGTATTGATTTATAGACCTGTTATAACCAGAGCAAAGCCATTTATGTTAGATAGGAAATAAGAGCAACAGAGGGTTTGGGGTAAAATGTAGAGGGTGAGATTAATTTCAGATTGCCTAAGAAGACAATGTTTTAGCTGGAATTAGAACTCAGGTTTCCAAACTTCATTTTTCTGAGAGCAGTAATGGGGATGGAAAGAAAGAGAATCATTTTGAGAAAAATGTTAAACATGGTATCAACTGACTTGTTAAAGAGTGGGCAACTGACTGACTGGGAAAGGAGGCCTGAAACTCTGGGATGTTGAGAGGCTTCCTATGATCTTGCCCTTGCCAAGATGTCCAGCTTCATACCATGTAGCGCATTTTTATGCTTTTCCATTATAGATGATGTTTAAAATCTAGCTGAAGTGTATCCTTCTTTTTCCTACCCCATTAGAATTAATTTTTCTTCTACAACTTGTAATTTATACTTCTAATAGTACTTACTTTGTTTTGCTTTGGTTGTAGTAGTTTATACATCTACTTTGACAAGATTGTATTTGTTTTGACTGTTTGTCAAGAACATATATTCATTTTCATATCCTCTGGTAGAATGTCTTTACATATTAGGCATTGAAAAAATCATATGCTGAGTGTGGATGGCAATGCTATAAACAGAATCTTCGGGAAGGTAACTGGATTTTAGGCTAGTGTTGATTTGCATGTATTTGGATACATTGAGTTTGAGATGCTGGTTGTATGTTGTGGAAATTCTTATATAGGGACAAATTTAATAAAAATGGTGTGAGATCTGTCAGAAGAAACTAGTATCTTATAGAGAGACAATAAACAGCCAATCAAATGGAATGTTGCAGCATGTTCCCAGATGGAAGGCTTAATAATTTAAATGATCTGTTTGCCTCAGGTGACACTATAAATTTCTACGAAATTCTAATTAAAATTCAAGTGGTTGTTATAATTGTATGAAATGATCTTAAAGTCCATCCATATGGAACAGTACATTTCTAAGACTAGCTAAAGTAATTACGAAAAACGACTAGTGAAGTAGGGCTTGTATTACCAGGTAGTAAATCATACTGTATAATTATTGTAAATAAAATAGTATTATATTGGCATGAAAATAGAGAATTAGACTAAGTGAAAATGGAAAGAGAGCTTAGAAATGTGATAGAGGTTCTATTTCAAATCAGTGGAAGAGGGTGAGCCAACAGAGTGTGTCATCATAACTAGTTACCTATCCAGAGAAAACAAAGTTGAGTCCCTATGACATAACAATTTATAGAGACAAATTCCAGATGAATTAAAGACTTAAATGTTAAAATGAAACACTAAATATCTTAGAGTAAAATTTTTTAGACTATATGAATTGCTCATGGGTAAATAAAACCTTTTATAGGAAAACATGAAAACTGTAGAAGAAAAGTAGACACCTGGATATATGAATTTGAAAAATTGCAACCGGGCACGGTGGCTCACGCCTGTAATCCCAGCACTTTGGGAGGACGAGGCGGGTGGATCACGAGGTCAGGAGATCGAGACCATCCTGGCTAACACAGTGAAACCCCATCTGTACTAAAAATGCAAAAAATTAGCCGGGCATGGCAGCGGGCGCCTGTAGTCCCAGCTACTTGGGAGGCTGAGGCAGGAGAATGGCATGAACCCGGGAGGCGGAGCTTGCAGTGAGCCGAGATCGGGCCACTGAACTCCAGCCTGGGTGACTGAGCGAGACTCCGTCTAAAAAAAAAAAAAAAAAAGAAAAATTACTATGGCAGAAATTATACATAAAATCAATAGAAAAAGTAAAGATTGTTACAAAATATTTGAAAGGAATGTATAAATAAGAGATTTTTACAAATTGGCAACAGAAAGACAATCTGGTAGAAAACTGAATAATAGATTCTTTTGTAACAAATAGTCACAGGAGAAAAATGTAAGTGGCAGTAAACACATGTAAGGATGTTTGACCTTTCTGATAGTCAAGCAGTGTGAGTCTATTATATACTCACCAAACTGGAAAATTGGAAGGCATAATAAAACCTCCTGTAGATGGGGAATGTTGGAGAAGAGAGTTGCCAGTGGAAAAGTGAATCGTTAGACCGTTTTATGAAGCAGACTGGTCAATACGTACACACATATATGTATTATATTAAAGTTAGAAAACACATTCCCTTCAATCCCAAAAACTGGGAATCTCTTACATAGAAATGAAAGCAGTATACGTACACATATGTTAATTGTGGAATTGTTTGATTTCAGAAAACAAAATGTCCATCAGTGTGACCAGCTTTGGAATATCCATGCCGTAGGTTGGTGTGTGACTATAACACTGGGCTAGTTGTCTGAGAGGATTGCCAAGATATATTAAGTTGGAAAAGCAAAACACAGAGACTTGTGTATGATTTCCTTTTTTTAATTTTTATTTTTTACAAGAAATTGATACTCCATGAAAATATATTCGTGTATGTTTATTTTTGTGTTAACATGGAAAAGACTAAAAGGAACAGATCGTTTGCAGTGATCTGTGTTTCAAATGGTATACAGATTTGGTTTGGGGATTTCTGGAGATAAGGAAAAGAAAAAGGTAGTCACAATAAAACAGGATGTGTGATTTGACCCAGTTTGTATAAAAACATGTTTATCTGCACATTGAGAAAAGAGTGGGATTAACAAAGTTAAAACATGGAATGGTGGTTATCTCGAGTTTTACTTTGTATAATAGAAGGAAAACCAATGGAAATACAAAAGAGTGGGGAAATAGGCAATAAATAAATGTTAAAAATACCTTTTTCTTTGTCCACAGACTCCATCTAAAAAGAAAATTGAAATTAGCACCATTGCAAGTAACTACCACCTTGAAGTTAATCCTAGGTAAGTTACTACTATATAGAAATTAAGCATTTTTAGAGAAATTGGTTTTGGGCTTTCGTTTTTTTAAAGATTGAAATCCTTTTTTGAAGTAAATTGATACGTGTGGAAGCACAGTTTATAAAACAGATTAAAGTGGAGCTGCCTTGCTTGAAATGGGAATCCTAAAGCCCTTCCCGTTTTGCCTTCTCTGTCAAATAATTTCGACGATGTATTTACCTTTTCTAGCTCTAGGGAGCTCATTGATGTACACACAGTATATTATATTGTCAGTAAATTTTTGTTAAGTTATATTGGCTCATTCATTACTGATGAGCAGTGTGTCTAAAAAGTTTACAGTGTTTGGAGTAAATATTTCAGAAATGGACTTTGGGTCGCCAAATCTTTCTTTGTCACTCTCTTTGTTTAAATTTATTGATTGGAGGTATTGTAATAGTCCACCAACCAATATCTTTATTCTCTGTCATGCAGTAATAAGATTAGGAACTTGTTGGAGAGGCATTGAAAACTCATGCAACAGCTGTTAAGTCTTAAGTGATGTAGAAATAATTCTGGGATCTAACTGGGTAAGCTGCAATGATCTGTGGGACTGTATGAGTTCTTAAAGGAGAACAGAATTGAGGATATTGTCAGGCATACACAACATGGGCAGTGGCACAGAGGCAAGAGAACATCCATTTTGGGGAGAGGGAGGAGACCAAATGGAGCAGGAGGAATAGCATTACAAGCTAATGTGTATGTTGTTTTCAGTAGCAGGCACTTTGTGAGAAGCTTTACTTGGATTATTACCTTTAATCCTTAAAACAACCCTAACAGATAGGTATTATTATTTTCTCTAGGCATCTCAAAGAAAACTAACAGAAATAAGGTTGTTGGGAATGGGTTTGATCATAAAAACAAAGGGAGTGTTAATTCCATAGACAAATGGAGAATGTTTTGGATTCTTGGCTAGGAAAATGATTGTAAGAGCAACACTGTAGGTATATTGATCTATAATAGTAGTAGTGACTTGGGAAAACTTAGTGGCTGTTTGAGAAAATAAAGTTAACTGCTTTGACCTGTTTTTCTCATTGTGAGTTCTTCTGAAGCATAGATAACCAATTGGAGAATAAGCCAGTTGCTTTCGGGGTGATTGAAATTAACATTAATTCAGCCTAAATTGACTTCTGTTGGTTTGAGAGGTCCTTGACTGAAGTGCCAAAGCAATAATATTGGTGTAAATGACAGATCAATACGGAGTTTTGACTTTGTGTCTTAAACCCAATTTGCTTATCTCATCGCCTTACTGAATCTCTGAATCAGTTTCATTCTAGTGCTGGTAGCAGACTTCTCTTTGTTCCCTCTTAGATCTTTGCTATTTTGGGGATGTGGAAGAGGAATAGGGATTGAATTTCTGTTTCAAAGAGTTATTTTTTGTATTTTCAACAATTATAGATAGTTGAGAAATGAACTATAATTAGGTATTAATTTTCTATAGTCAGTACAGAAGTGTCAAAGTGTTTGCTAAACTGTTACCTAATTATTAGTAGTTGCTTTTTTTATGTTAACAGTAAACTTAATGTAAGAACATTTTTAGTGTTTTCAGTGATGTTAATCCAATTGGAATATTGTTAGTATTTTTAATGACCCTAAAACTTTTTACTTTTAAGGAGCTTATAATTATAGCTAGGTGATATTAATTTTGATTAAAATTTTGACCACTTAAGAACCTCAACATTTTCCTTATAATAACAATATTAAGGGCATACTATATACCATTGTTTTTGTTTTGTGTAGTGATGCTGGAAATAGTGACCGAGTAGTCATTCAGGAGATGTTGAAAACAGTGGCACAATCACAACAACTTGAAACAAACTCTCAAAGGGATTTTAAAGGTAGGTGATCAAAAGACTTTGTTTTATGAAGCTGCCAAGCATTAGTGCGCTCTCTCTCTTTTTTTTTTTTGAGTTATGAAAGTTAACAAGAGAGAAGTATGATCTCTGTGCTCATATGAGGGAGTTTATAGTCTAATGGAATTGAATTTTATGTGAAAGAGGATTATTTGTGCCATCCATTTGATATTTTAGAACAAGATGAATAAAAATATGTGCTTTCAAATAAGAAAGTACATGATTTTAAAATAGCTGTTCTTATGACCCAAGTCATATGTTCATTATCAAATATTTAGATAAAAAAGAAAATAATATCAGCTATATTCCCATCATCCAGAGACAGCTACTATTAACAGTTTAGACTTTATCTTCCAAGCATTTTTTTCTATATATATGCATACATTCTTACTGGTGAGATTTTGAATAAATATGCCATCATTTATTGCTTTTGATATTTTTTGCCAAATTCTCTGTCTGAAAGTAGGTATAGATTTATACTACCAATAGCAGTGTTTGGGAGTGCTCATTTCTCTGTGACATTTACCAACACTGAAGACAATTCTTTTTAACCTTTGTCAGTTTGAGTGGAGAAGATAGTGTTTTGTTCCTCCTTACTGAGTGCGATAAATTTTTCCTTTGTTTAATATTGCACATTTTTATTATTTTGTGAATTCCCTGTACATATTCTCAGCTGATTTCTTTCCTCAGTCTCCATATTTCAAAGTAAATTTACATTTATGAATTTATTTTTTGCTACTATATATGGAGTCTTATATTTTCTGAATGTTTTATATATGTAAGTTACTAACATTTATATCCTACTTTTATATCTTGCTGTGTTATTAAACTCTCTTACTGTTTGTAATTGTCTTTTGATAGTTTGAGGGTTTTTTTAGATGTATATCCATATAATCTGTAAATTATTTTTCCTTTTTCTTTCCAATTTTTATGGCTCTAAATACTTTTTCTTCTCTAATTATGTTGGCCAACCCCCCAATAGTGTGCTTAATAGTAATAGAGATAGCAGATGTCCATGTCATGACTCTGGAAGGAAAGCCTTAGTGTTTTCCCATAATTAATTGCTGAATTTTGGTCTGAGGTATATATATTTGATCACGGTAGGAAAATATTCTCAAGTTCCTATTTTATTGAGTGTCTTTAACATAAATGTGTGTTAAATGTTGTCTGATGCTTCTTTTTCATCCGTGAATGTGCTTTTGTGATTTTTCTTTAGTTCATTAATATCATAGGTTATATTACTGGATTTTCTAATATTAAAACTTTTGCTAGGCACAGTGGCTTATGCTAGCAATCTCAGTGCTTTGGGAGGCTGAAGCAGGAGGATTGCTTGAGCCTCGGAATTCAAGGTTGCAGTGAGCTGTAATTGCACTACTGTACTCCAGCCTGGGTGACAGAGCGAGACTGTATCCCTAAAAAAAAGGCAAAACAAAACTGTTCTGCATTTCTAGAGTAAATGTCACTTGTCATGTTGAATTAATTTTTAAAAATATGCTGTTTTCTGCCTACCAAGTTCTGCTTACTCACTATTTCCAACATCACTATACAAAATAATGATATGTATATGTAAATATAGGAAATACTGTGCCATTATCCTCAATCTGTTATTAATATTATAAGAGAAATGTTGAAGATCTGTCATTATAAGAAATTTAGTTGGAATTTAGCATTTTAGTCAAAATTAGTAATGCCTAATTACAATTACAAACCTTTAAGAGTGAAATGTTTTAGGGTCGTTAAAAATACTAACAATATTTTACCATCCAATTACAGTTGAAATAACCTTTCACATGAAGCTTACTGTTCCTTAAAAAGAACAATAACTATTAATTAACAGTTTAGAAAATACTTTGACTCTTTCACATCCATAAATATGTTATTCTGCTCCTCTGCTCAACTCTCTTACATAACTGTTTAAATTTGGCAGTGATCCTTTTGTGTTGGTCATTTTGCTAAAAGTACAGTGAGTTTTCCTGTACTTAGGAAGCAGAGGCAGGCCAGAGAGTTTTTTCTAGGTCTGGGGCTCTACAGCTACCTCTGGTATTAGTTTTACAGAGTGGTCAAAAATATATGACACTTTACTTGAGGCCAGGAGTTTGAGACCAGCAAGACCCAATCTTGCCAAAGGAAAAAAAAAAAAATAGGCTCATGCCTGTAGTCTTAGCTACTTGGGAGGCTGAGGTGGGAAGATAGCTTGAACCCAGGAGTTTGGGATTGCAGTGAGCCGTGATCGAGCTACTGCACTCCTGCCTGGGTGACAGAGTGAGACCCTGTCTCTCAAAAAATAAAATAAAAAAATAAATAAATGACCTTGTGTTCTGAGCTCTATTCCTTATCTTATTTTCTGTCACCTTTATTGGGATTCTTTGTCTGTCTTTTACCTGTTCTCAGTTTGGATTCTGTTTCTGGAATTTCTTCTCATTGTGGAGCATTGTCTTATTCTCGAGCTCCTGTCCTCAAGCCATCCTCCTAGCTTGGCTACCCACAGTGCTGGGACTGCAGGCACAAGCCCCTGCACCAGCCACAGCCACGTGGAACATTGTCTTAGAAGGGAGGTTCATTTTGGTATTCTCAGAGTCTACTGTTCTGTCAAACCTTACTGTGTCAGGGTTCCCTTGGTCTCACCCATAAATTAGGCTCTGTTGAATCTCCCACCTCGGTAAGACTGCTGCTTTCTTTGAGACAGTGTCTCACTGTGTTGCAACAGGCTGGAGTGCAGTGGTGCCATCACATTTTACTTCAGCCTTGACCTCCTGGGCTCAAGGAATCCTCCCACTTCAGTCTCTTGGGACTGCAGGTGCAAATCACCAGGCCTGGCAATGTTTTGTATTTTTGTAGACATGGGGTTTTGCTGTGTTGCCCAAGCTAGTTTTGAATTCTTGGGCTCAAGGGATCTGCCTTCCTCAGCCTCCCAAAATCTTGGGATTACAGGCAGATTACAGGCATGAGCCACTGTGCCTGGCCAACTGCTGCTTTCAAATTGGCCCCATCATGGTTTCTAGTATATTCCTGTGGGTGATTTTGAGCTTTTCCTGTCATAAAGTCTGTCAAAATCTTCTTCCCACACCGTTTCTGATACTATGTGGGCCTTTGCAGTTTTAGTTTCTTATTCTCATTTGCTTATGTTTGGGGTTCTTGGGTAAAGCTTGTTGCCTAGTTTCTGTAAAATGTTCATGTGTTCTTTGTCTTGGAATCTTAAGTTCTGTTTATTTTTATGGGGCAGATCCAAATGCTGCATGCCACCAGTTCATCCTCTAGAAATAATTTGTTAATGTAATGAAAAATACAATACTGGATTCAGTTTCTGTCTCCACATTATTCCTGAACCGTGTTAAGGCTGATCTGTGATTGTGGCCAGATGGAATCTTACTTTATGGTGGCCGGATATCTTTATGCCTTGTTGCCTATATCTCTTGCACCACTGTTTTCCAAAGTCTGTTCCTTGGAATTTAATATTTTAGATTAAGATGTACCACAGAAATGTGCTGCTGAGTAAAGTTATTTTGGGGAAATGCAGCACAGTACTTCCTTGTCTTGGTAAATTTTAGTGTATATAAATAAAGGTTGCAATGATTTCTACTACAAAGTAACCTTTTAACTTCATTTAGCCTAGTGTTTCTTGGTCTTGTTTGATTATAGATTCTTTTTTTTTTTTTTTTACTAGCCCTGCCAATGCAAGGTCTCACAATTTTAAAAACTCAGAGCTGTTCCTATCCATAGAAATCTTTAGTAAAAGGCGAAAGATTTATGTGATCTGAAGAGAAACCGGAGTATGATTGTAGTGTTTTAAAATAAAAAATAAAGTAATTTTACCATACTTATAACTTTATCTTTGCCAAAGGAAAGAGTAGTATATCAGGCTTATTATATAGGATTTCACTCTGGATAATGGGGAGGAAGAAAGAGACAAGTTAAAGTTTGAGTGAACTCAAGTTAAAGTTTGTTTTGTTTCTCTTTGACTCAGTGGTGTTATTGACAGAAGTTGACAAACTCACCAAAGATGCTCAGCATGCCTTGCGAAGAACCATGGAAAAATACATGTCTACCTGCAGATTGATCTTGTGCTGCAATTCTACATCTAAAGTGATCCCGCCTATTCGTAGTAGGTGCTTGGCGGTTCGTGTGCCTGCTCCCAGCATTGAAGATGTAGGTCAAGTTACGCTTTTCTGAAAAATCAGTTCAGATTCTCTGTATACTGTATGCTTGTTGTAAAAGAAGAGAAACATATCAGTAATTCAAGAATATTTATAGACCTGGATGCAAAGCATTAATATATGAACAAACCAAAGCGTATAGTTATAAATACCAGATGCCAATATATAGAAAGTGTTTTTCCCTTTAAACCCTCTTTACCTTGAACAAGTAGGCATTACGAATTCTGCTAAACTAGGTAAGGGCTAGTTATTTACTGTCTTCTTTGTCAAGCTGATTTAGCTGTCTATAAGAGGAGGCTTGGAATATTGAGAAAATAGATTTTACAAAGAGATGATGTGGGAATACCTAGTCCCTAGGAAGGGAATTAAAGTTAGTATGAAATAACATTAATATTTATATTTATACACACAGACAGATATATTTTTTCTCTATCATTCTTAACAACCATCAGCAAAAATTATGATTCCTCACATTAAATATCTTTCCTGCTTTTAATAGATTTTGGGAGATTTCATGCAAAGTAGGGATAATATGTAACATTGTGTTAGATGCAGAGTGGTAAGTTACTTTTATATAAGTTTCACTTATAAGAATTTTGAGAGTAATACAGTTATAAGGGTCTAGAAGGATATCAACAGAAATTAATCTGCTTTTTAATGGATTGCCCATTTTTGTTAACTTCATTTGTAGATTTGCCACGTGTTATCTACTGTGTGCAAGAAGGAAGGTCTGAATCTTCCTTCACAACTGGCTCATAGACTTGCAGAGAAGTCTTGTAGAAATCTCAGAAAAGCCCTGCTTATGTGTGAAGCCTGCAGAGTGCAACAGTGAGTGGAAGGGGTAGTTACATTCTAGGACTTCGGCTGCCAACCTTCTTGGCACCAGGGACCAGTTTTGTGGAAGACAGTTTTTCCATGGACTGAGTAAGGGTGGGGAGTAGTTTCAGGATGAAATTGTTCCACCTCAGATTGTCAAGCATTAGATTTTCGTATGGAGCATGCAACCTAGATCCCTTGCATAAGCAGTTCACAATATGGTTCCTGCTCCTATGAGAAGCTAATACCATCACTGGTCTGACAGGAGGCGGAATTCAGGCTATAATGCTGGCCTATCTGCTGCTCACCTCCTGCTGTGTAGCCCAGTTCCTAATGGCACAGACCAGTGGTTGGGGACTCCTGTTTTAGGACATAAGCACACTTCTGTTTAACTTCTTGTATTCTCTTTTTGTTGTGTAGATATCCTTTTACTGCAGATCAAGAAATCCCTGAGACAGACTGGGAGGTATATCTGAGGGAGACTGCAAATGCTATTGTCAGTCAGCAGACTCCACAAAGGTACCAGTATAAAACGATGACAGTAAAGATTTCATTATCAAGATATCATAGAACATGTATTAACTACTTTATGCTAATACCACATCACTTTGAATTATAATTGAATCTACGTATTAACCTTTTAAGGAAAATGTAGGATTCAACTTCAGAAATTTAGTGGTTCAGAATAGTTGGTGTGTGTGGCTTCTATTAAGCCGTAATATCGTGGCTTACATGTGATCATGTAAAAGTGGAGTTTATGTTAATTTTAATTTTCCTTTTAGGATCTCAGATACTTCATAGTAACATATAACACAAAGCTAGACATAATGTGTGTAGCTTTCTAGGAAAGGACAATGTATAACTTTGCAGTTGATGATGCATCTTGTGCTAGAAAGACACCAGACTATAAGTCAGACTTCTAGTTCTTGTCCTGAACTTCTAGCTAAGTGTTCTTGATCAGGTAACTTCATTTTAGAGTTTTATCTTCATTTGTGTATTAAAGATATTATTATTGCCTCGCCAAGAGTACTTGTGCCTTTGTTGTGAAGAGCAAAAGAGTTATTAATGGTTTGAATAGATGACCATGGGTTCCACTAAGGATAGCATTGTGTATATACCATTTTTAGAAAGTATTTTTTGACACATTTGCTGAAAAATTGTTTCCATTACTTCTGTAGGTCTATTATTTGTAGGTTGACGATTCTGAAAATACCTCAGCCACTAGTAGTTTCGCTTATGGCAGCTTTGATTGAGAAGCACAGTTTGCTTTTCTCCAAATAAAAAATGACGACGTTAAGGCCCACTAACTTTGGAGAGTATGGAGAAGGTTCCTTAGACTTGCTAAAGCACTGTCTCATATCCTTGTTGGCTTTCTGAGCTTGGAAATGATCTTTGGACCTTACAGAGGGTAGTTGATCATTTTAGGGTTCAGAATAGACTGAGTTCAAAATATAGACTGAATAGGCTACAGCCAATAGAACTTATGCTTCCCTGGTCTAATGAAAATAATAGTGAGAGGAATATACCATGTTTCTCCTTTTAATGATACATCTGATGAATTCTATTTTTTATAAGAAATTCTTCAAAGGTATTGTAATATATAGATTGGTGGAGGTGGATAGTGAATCATACATAGTGGGTACTTAGTATTTCATTTAAGGTTTGCTTTGAATTCTCAGAATTCAATTATTTTAGTTGAAGAAATCAGTATTTTTCTCCAGGAAGTACCAAACGTTATAAGTAGTCTCATTAGAAAAGAAACTTCGTCTTTAGGAAAAAAATATTCGTTTTATTTTATGAAATGTTGATTATCAATAAAGAGACCTCACCCTTCAAAGAGATAGAATTCAAATAAAGCATGTCTTAGGGTCCTTTTACTTTTATAAAAGATTTCTGCACTGAAGATGACTTTCTTGTTTTTGTTCTGATATTAAAGAAGAACAATTGGTAGTAGTAGAACTTACCTACTTTTAAGGGATTTAGGTACTTGATGTTGTAATGTTTTTCAATTACCACATGCGTTTTTAAAACTACTTGATTATTCCTTTGCTTAATTCTTCTAGCTGCTGTTACAAATTTCTTCTGGTTTTCCTAACACATTTTGGCAGCTTATAAATGAACTTGTGCAAGAAAAGGTGCTCCTGTTTCCTGTTCAAACTAACAATTGTAGGAATTGATTCCATTGTGCTGCATAAAAAGAAATTTTGCTCAATTCCCGAAAGCCTTGGGGCTGGCCAGAAGCCCTGGAAGTCTGGTATCTTTCTGATCACTGGGCCGCACAGTTCCAAATGATTACTTCTGATTTCTGTCTCCTTTGTCGTGCTGGAATATTTGTGGTCTTGATTTTTCATTTAATCTGTCTTAGAACAGTCATAATTTTCTAATATGAATAGCAGCTAATATTTCAGGAATGATTATGTCAGCTCTTACATCATGTAATTTAATTGATATAACAGACCTCTGAGAAAAATATTAACTTTTTAGATTAAAAAAAAAAAAACGATGCTGACATTTACGGAGATTAAGTAACTTGTTTAGGGACATTCCGTTATTAGTAGAGACAGTTCTAGAATACCCATGTTTCTCTGACAGGAGAGTTTGTACTCTTAATCACTTGTAAGCTATTAGGAAATAATCACACAGACATGGTAAATGTAGAATATATTAATTTTGTAAAACAGTAATAAGACTAACAAAAGATACATGTTAACATGTATGCACTGCACACAGTATAGTTACTTCAGTTGTGTAGGTACATCGTGAATCAACTTTTCAGAAGTAAGCTATATGCATATATTAAAATAATTTCATACCATATGTCACTTATTATTCATGCTTTAATAATCTAGTGTTATTCTTGGGATGTCAGAGAAATCACAGGCTTTTGAGTCAGGACTGAATTCAAATGCCGGCTCGAATACATGAGTTTTGATGGAAGCCTGACCTTTCTGAACTTCAGATTTGTTTCAGTAAAAGAGCATCATTGTTGTGGGGAATTAATAGTATATTGCAGTGAACCTAGTACAGAATTAAGGTGTTAAATACTTTCACAGACATTGGAAAGGGTGTGGACTTTGGAGTAAGACAGATAGATCTGTGTTAAATCATACTTTGCTGTGGTCAGTTTTATGAGTTACTTAAACTATCTGCGCGTTAGTTTTTTCATCTGAAATAAATGAGCTAGAGTAAGTACTGAGTTAAATTATTTGTTTCAATTCTTTCACATAGCAGATACCCCCCAAATGCTAGTTCTTTTTTTTCTCCCCCCACTTTTTTAAAGATTTATTGTGCCAGGGCTTCATATTCCTGATGTCTTTAGGATTGACTTCTGCTTTTTAAGAATTCTTATGAATCACTACCTGGATTTATCTGAGGTATGGAACATCTGTACTGTTATTTTAGTAAAAATTCAGAAGTTTTTTTCCCTTTGAGATATGTGTATTTGAAACTTTCTATCTCTTTTTTTTTCTGTTTTAAAACGTCGTATGTACATTTCTCTCCTCTTCCCCTTTCCCTCCCTAAAATATGAGAAGGGCCTACCTAGAATGAAGGATTCAGAGGTTTGAATGTTCCCTGTTCACTTAGTCTGGTTCCATGCTTACCTGTAAACCTTTGTGCCGCCGCTTTTATGACAGGGACAGCTCTGTATCCCTGCCACATTGCTTTTTTACTGTGCAGTCTAGGCAGTAGCATTATATTATATTCATGCGTATATTATCTTTTGTCACCTATGTAGTTGACTTTTTAATGTTTTCATGACCATTTTCTGGATGTTTCAGGTATCTATCTGGAGAAAAGAAAAACATTACTTGACATGTCATTAAAGTTTGTTAAATTCTATGGTGTGAATAAGCTCAACCCTCGCTATTCATGAAGTCTCCATTTGTATCTGGTATTTTCATGGTGTTTTGATATAATTAGGAACCCTGAATATAGACGTCTCATTTTAAAAGAGTTCTGAAAATGTTCTGTTTGAAAAATGAACTGAAGTTAGAAGATGCCTCCATATGTTTATCCTAGTATGATAACCTGTTTAAGAAACAACTGTTATTTCTTACTAGATTGTTTGTTAATTCATGAAGTTAGTTTATAAAGTTGTTAATTCTGTATTGGATTGTTTGTTAATTCATAAAGTAAAACCATACAGTGGGAACTTGGAAAAATTACCCCTTATTTTCTTCACAAAAGATCAATTATTTTGTTTTATGTAGACTCCTTGAAGTTCGTGGAAGGCTGTATGAGCTTCTAACTCATTGTATTCCTCCTGAGATAATAATGAAGGTAACCCAATTTCAGATCTTGAACTTTTTACAGCTATAAAATTTGGACGCTGGGTATGTGATCTTAGGGCTTTTTGCAGTATCAAGATATCACCTCTTTCTTTCCAGCTCATTAATTGCACATATTTACTGAACCTCTATTGTGCCAGGCACTATAGAGGAATGCTGAAGAAAAGAAGGGAGGGCCTGCCTAAAGTGAAGTTATATTCTAGTGGTGTGAAAAGGAGAACAAATAAGTAAGAGAATTTCAGAATGTTGTAAGTGCTATAAAGGAAAGAGCAAGATGCAGTGATGATAATGGAGGGTGGGGCTACAAAGAAAAAAGTGAAGGTCCACCCTTCCATTTTCACAAAGGTCACCACTTTTAACAGACCTCTTTTCTATTCACATAAAAACAAGTATGTGTATGTATGTGGTTTCACAAAACTGCTCAGTTTTCTGCCCTTTAGTATGGATCTTGTGTCATGACCATATGTATAGATTTACTTTGTTCTGTTTAGTGGATAAATGGTTTTCTGTTGTGTGACTGTATCATACTTTTTCCAAACATGACCTCCATTGGTGGAACTTTAGGTTGTCTACAAATTATTATTGTTATAAATAGTGCTACAGTAAGCGTCTTTACACTTATATTCTTGCACCTTGTGCAGTTAAATATTTGGAATTTAGAATGTGGCTGATACCCACCACATTTTTACATCATGGAAAAGGTACCACAGTTTTTGCTTTTGGATAAAGGTTGTTGATTCACGTAAAAAATTAAAGATCTCACATATATAAAAGAGAGTATGTTTAACTTTAATCTTTTTGTGAATGGGAGAAATAAGGCATGCTTAGCTATTTTGTTAATGATTTTTAAATTACTAATTATTTTTCTTTAGGGCCTTCTCTCAGAACTGTTACATAATTGTGATGGACAACTGAAAGGGGAGGTGGCCCAAATGGCAGCTTATTATGAACATCGTCTGCAGCTGGGTAGCAAAGCCATTTATCACTTGGAAGCATTTGTGGCCAAATTCATGGCACTTTATAAGAAGTTCATGGAGGATGGATTGGAAGGCATGATGTTCTGACTTCTATCAGTTATTCTTGCAAAGATTTCTCAGTATCAGTATTTACATACAGCTTATATTTAAGAGCTGTGGGTAAATTAACTGTACTTAATCATGTTGTATTTGTGTTTTTCTGGTAATAACTGCTGCGTGAACTATTAATCATCCTCTACGTTAAATAATTGCT